CTAAAACAATATATGAAAGTAATGAGAAAGTGGCCACTTTCATGAGTAAATCATGTAAGCCTTATATGATTTACTCATGAAAGTGGCCACTTTCATGAGTTAAGTCATATAAGTTTTTACTATTTCTTTTCCATATGGGAACATTGCTCGCAACATATTTGCTGCTTGATTGCAGCTGCCTGGTTAATGTTTTTTATGGTTTTTATGTTAATGTTTAAGTTGTTGTTGTTGTTGGTGGTGGTGGTGTGAGTGCGTGCGTGCGTGCGTCTGTGTGAGTGAAAGAGAGAAAGAGGGAGAGCTTTTATAAAACTTCATGTTATGGACACACAGTGTGAGCACTCAGGTCTTATCAGAGCATCGGCCGTATAGTGTGAGACCCTGCATCGATTTTGGGCCCAGACATGGCTAATGATGTCGGACTTAAAGACTGGATAGTATTTATGAAAACTGTTCCAGCCATGTGGTATCATAGCAAAAATTATTTTAATATTAACAAAAGTGGAAAGCTTAAGTCATGTTAAACCTAAAAAGCAATTATTTTAAAAATGAGTCCGTTCAATATTCCTGACTTATCTGTAGATAGTAGAAACAAGTTAACTATAGTTTAGTGTTTTGAAAAACATTATTTTAATAAAAGAAAACATGAGCTTTAATATTTACCAAAGAAATTTGAAGGCAATTTCCCCAACTCCAGAGTGCAAAATCCTGATGAAAGCTGAAACAAGTGTAATGGCTGCCTTGCTCTTACCTTTCCCCCCCTTTCGGGTTCTTTTTCCCACAATGCATTGCAGTAGTTGAGAAATACAGGAAAATACCTGTAAATGACTAATACGGAAGTAATACAGTACTTTGTACTGTATTTTTACAGATTTTTTTACAGTGTGGATTTAATGCTCAAGTTAACAGAAGTGATGATATATTATTAATCTTGCACAAACATATTGTAATCACTGAGTTACTTGTGAAACAGCAGCAGCTGGCTCAGTTGCCAGCAAAGGACATTCCTGTTTTTAAAAGGTGATGCACTACAGTCTAAGGCTTTCCAAAGAGCCTTCAAACATGCAGTAGAGCAAAAGACTGATAAAGATCAAGATAAGTTGCATTTCTTGGAACAAGAACTTTTACTGCTGGCGAAACTAATGCATGCAATCTTGCTGGCTGAGGGTAGCGATGTGATAAGGTGTGTGATAATGTAACAAAGGCACCTATTAGTGATAGGTAATGGCAGGAAAAATGTATAAAATTACTAAAATCTAGTAAAAACAGATTTTACTTTGGGTTTGCAGAAATATTTTTTAATCGTTTTGATGGTCACTGTAGTGCCTATATTAATTTATTAAAGTTCTCGCTTTCTCTTATGTTTAAAATAACCACACTATGGACGGACTGTTTTTACCAGTTGCCGTTAGCAACAACAACAGTAAAACCATCATGTGGCTCCACCATCCCTTTGCTTATTTTCCACACAAACCTTTCACAATGAAGCTCAAGATCCTGTTGAGACTTTTCAGAATGAACTGAAATGATACACATTACTCTCAAACATCAAATTTCAGAATATGCATCAAACAAATTACCTCAAATAAAAACATGAACTATAAATGGCGCTTACAGTCACCACAGAGAATACCAGTATGGCCAGTGAGGAACCAGTTAGCTCCAAACAGAAGGACGAGTCCAAACAAATTATCGAGGAGCAGCATGGACTAAATTCCTAAACTCTGTAGCATGGACATGATTTGGTTATGAAAAGCCTTACACAGACCAGGAAACTGACCAATGCAAATTATGCTGTAAACCGGTCCCCACAGACTCAAACACGTCAAACATCTTCGACCGCCTACACAAGAATGTGAAAGAGGATCGAGAGAGCTTTTGGATGAGAAGCAAAAAAGAGCCATCAGGTGCTCAAAACAAACCTCAGACTCAAACAGAACAAACTTTTCCCAAGCAAAAAAGAGCCATCAGGTGCTCAAAAAAAACCTCAGACTCAAACAGAACAAACTTTTCCCACAGCACGCCGTGTAATAAATACAAAGAAAATGGCGACAGTTACAACTTATGTCTAAAAATGTAGCTTCATGCATTGGTCAAAACATTCGACAGCTACACCATGCCCTGCTGAAAACACTTCACACATTTTTGCTGCTTTTGTCTTGCACTGTCCACTTTTCTGCAATGACAGTGCAGATTTTCCACTTGTGGGACTAATAAAGAGAGATTTGTTGCGTTTGTGTGTGTGTGTGTGTGTGTGTGTGTTTGTGTGTGCGCAACATTTGCATTTGTTTACTTTGAGTAGCTCAGATCCAAGGCAGGTCAAAGCCATGTGTTACAACCTTCAGAAATTCCTGCCGTATCTATACAAAAGACACACATTCACAATATATGGATACACAAGTCTGTTTTTCAAACTTTACAGCGTTTGCAGATCCAGTGTCCACCGTCCCTGCATTTAGCACAGGTGAATTTCTGACATGTTGCACAGGTAAATCTGCTGCAATTCCTGTTGCAGCTCTCTTGCACCTGCGTTGTCTTTACAGTCCCTGGCACAGCAGCTGCAGCAGCCTGCCTCTGTGCTAATATTTCCTTGTGCTGCATGAGCCGGCAACAAAGTTCCTTGGCTAGAAGACTCAGAAACATCTTCTTTTGCCTGTCCACCCTGTACATGCCTTGTACAAAATGTAGGATAGTGACATTTTGTACAAGGCATTCACCTGGCGGCGGTGAATGCAGTGAACACGGGGCTGCATTACATCCTGCAACACCTCGACCGCCCGGGAACTTATCCCAGGGTCCTGTTTGTGGACTTTAGTTTGGCTTTTAACACCATCGTGACTGAACTTCTCTCCTCCAAACTCTCCCAGCTCAGCGTTCCACCAGCTATCTGTCAGTGGATCACCAGCTTCCTGACAGACAGGAAGCAGCAAGTGAGGCTGGGGGACATTGCCTCTGAAACTCGGTCCCTCAGTACTGGTGCCCCTCAAGGATGTGTCCTCTCACCACTATTGTTCTCCCTCTACACTAATGACTGCATCTCCAAGAACTCGGCTGTTAAACTCCTTAAGTTTGCAGATGACACAACCGGACTCATCAAGGATGGTGAGGAGTCTGCATACCGGCAGGAAGTTGAGCGGCTGGTACTCTGGTGCAGTCAGCACAATCTAGAGCTGAACGTGCTTAAGACTGTAGAGATGACAATGGACTTCAGGAGGCACCCCTCAACACTGCTTCCCCTCACCATATCAGACAGTCCTGTGTCGACTGTGGAGATCTTCAAGTTCCTGGGGACCACCATCTCCCAGGACCTGAAGTGGGAGACCAACATCATCTCCATCCTCAAAAAGACCCAGCAGAGGATGTACTTCCTGAGACAACTGGGGAAGTACAGTCTTCCACAGGAGCTGCTGATCCAGTTCTACACTGCAGTCATTGAGTCTGTCCTGTGCTCCTCCACATTGGCAGTAATGACACCCGATTATGCCAATTGGAGGTCACTAAAACCAATACTGAATCGGTGTGTAACTTTGCCAAAACAATGTGGGACTCTGTAGTTTTCTCTGGTCCCCTCCCCAATCAGACCAGGAGTGACATGTTTAGCCGCATGTTCTCCTTAAATTGCTGGCTGTCTGAGTGGTGTCCAAAAAATGATGTGGGCTTCATAGATAATTGGCAAAACTTCTGGAGGAAACCTGATCTTGTTAGGAGAGACGGCATCCATCCCACTTTGGATGGAGCAGCTCTCATTTCTAGAAATATGGACAAATTTATGAAACCTCCCAAAATATGACTATCCAGAGGTGGGACCAGGAAGCAGAGTTTCAGTCTTACACGCCTCTCTGCAGCTTCTCTCCTCCTGTTACCCCCCAAAACCCATCTCCATAGAGACTGTGTCAGCTCCCAAAAAGACAAAAAACAAACTAAAATCCAGCAACAAACAACTTAAACATAAAAAAATCACAAAGAAAGAACAATACAGTATCCACATCTCCAAGTCTCTGTTAGTACATGACTTAATAATTGATCAACAAATCGATTTACTCTGCCTTACAGAAACCTGGTTGCAGCAGGATGATTATGTTAGTTTAAATGAATCAACACCCCCGAGTCATTCAAACTACCAGAAATCTCGAACCACAGGCCGAGGGGGAGGTGTGGCAGCAATTTTTCACACCAGCCTATTAATCAACCAAAGACCAAGACAGACTTTTAATTCATTTGAAAGCCTGATGGTTAGCCTTGTCCACCCCAGCTGTAAAACTCAGAAACCAGTCTTACTTGTTATCATCTATCGTCCACCTGGGCCTTACACAGAGTTTCTGTCTGATTTCTCAGACCTTTTATCTGATTTAGTTCTCAGCTCAGATAAAATAATTATTGTGGGTGATTTCAACACCCATGTAGATGCTAAAAATGACAGCCCCAACATGGCATTAATCTGTTATTAGACTCAACTGGCTTTTCTCAAAATGTAAACGAACCCACCCACCACTTTAATCACACTCTAGATCTTGTTTTAACATTTGGCATAGAAACTGAACATTTAACAGTGTTTCCTGAAAACCCTCTCCTGTCTGATCATTTC